AATTCGACGAGGTTTAAGGAGAAATGAAAAAACACAAGACTGAGACAGAAATAGAGTGAAAGTTGGGCCTGGGTGTGGCGTCTGCCCCCTGATGGAGGGGCAGACCCAGAGAGCCAGCACCGGAAGGAGTTTATTAAATACTCGAATAACAGGAAGTTACATCACATCTGGGTGGGCCTTGAGTTCCTGGCGACATCATGAGATCCATCCCCTTAACACTGGGCAAGAAGGTCAAAACTGAGTGTCGTCCCAGTCTGTTGACTGGGTCCACCCCCAGGGCGTGGCTCTGCCTTCGCTCTGAGTTTCAGCTGACACTTAAACTGAGTGTTTTTGCCAGCGGCCCTTAAGAAAGATTTAAGATTTCGATTTGGGCCAAGAGGAGAAAAAAATGCCCCAAGGGTCTTCAACCTTGGTCATTGCACCAGCCAACTTTTACAAGACAGGTCTGTGGAGACTTGAGACATAAGACCTATGTCATAATGTTACTTTATCTTTCTTTAACATTAGTCTATTGTTTCTTTACGTATAAATTCCCCAGAGATGTCATGTATTTTAAGGTAAGATTTCAGTATACCTGGGTCTGGCCAAAATACCATCTTCATTCCATTAAACATTCCATTTTACAAATAAGCTTACTTGTCCTTATAAAAATTATTAACTTAGGAAACTCCCATTTTAGTTTGTAAAGTAGAAAATGGGCATAAAATGTACTTAGAATGATAAAGAAGAAAGAGGAGAAAGCGAAAGAGGGAAGAAGAGTCTGAGAAAAAAGTGGTGTCTAGAGGTAAGTTAGGGGAGTTGGGAAAGAGAAGGAAAAGAGAATTGAGAGGAGAAGAAGAAGAAATTTATAGATATGTAACTTAGGTGAAAATAGTGGTTTCCTTTCTGATAATAAAATCAAGATGCAGGAGAATAGAGTCAGTAGTCAATGTGTCAGAAAAATAGAGTGTCTGAACTTAGCTGCCCCAATAAATGGAATAGCAGCCACACAGAGTATAGCATAAGTGAGTAAATAAAACAATGTAAAAAGATAGAAAACCCCAGCATAAAATAAAAATTACTCAAAAAATAGAAGGAGGGAGATTCCAGTCAAGGTGGTAGCACAGGTGAATGCATTACTTGTATCCTCCCACAACCACATCAAAATTACAACTAAATTTCAGAACAACCATGTTTGAGAACCACCTGAAACTTAGGTGAACAGAAGTCTTACAACTAAGGATATAAGGAAGAAGCCACATCAGGACTGGTAGGAGGGGTAGAGACACAAAATGGCTGGTCCCACACCCATGTGTGGCGGATAAAAATCTTGAGGGATATCTCAGCTTCAGAGGTCCTCCCTGCGAATAGCCATTGCAATCTTGAGAAAGAAGAACAAAGTTGGACGAATCATGCTACCTGATATCAAAATATACTACAAGGCCATAGTAATCAAAACAGCATGGAACTGGCATAAAAACAGGCATATAGATCAATGGAACAGAATAGCAAGCCCAGAAATCAACCCATGCCTATATGCTCAATTAATATTTGACAAAGGATGGAAAATACAATGGGGTAATGACAGCTTATTCAATAAATGGTGCTGGGAAAATTGGACAGATACATGCAAAAAATGAAACTAGCCCACCTTCTTGCATCATATACAAGAAGAAACTAAAAATGGATCAAAGACTTAAATGTCAGACTCAAAACATAAAACTCTTAGAAGAAACCATAGGCAATAAACTTGGACATTTCTTGTAGTAATGTTTTTTTCTGATATATCTCATTGGGCAAGGAAAACAAAGAAAAAAAGCAAAAGGGACTACATCAAACTAAAAGGTTTTTGCACAGGAAAGAAAACCATCAACAAAACAAAAAGACAACCCACTGAATGGGAGGAGTTACTCACCAATGTCACATCTGTTAAAGGTTTACCATCCAACATTTATAAAGAACTCATAGAACTCAGCATCCAAACCACAAACAACCCAATTTAAAAACAGGCAAAGAACCTGAACAGACATTTCTCCAAAGAGGACAGGCAGATGGCCAACAGACATATGAAAAGATGTTCAATGTCACTGATCATCAGAGAGATGCAAACCAAAACAGTGAGATATCACCTCACACCTGTCAGAATGGCCGTCATCAACACATCAACAAACAAGCGTTGGTGAGGATGTGGAGAAAAGGGAACCCTCCTGCACTGCTGGTGGGAATGCAGACTGGGGCAGCCACTATAGGAAACAGGAGTTTCCTCAAAATTTTGAAATGGAACTGCCGTGTGACCCCGCTATTCCACTTCTGGGTATATGTCTGAAGAAACTAAAACACACTAATTCAAAAGAATATATACACCTCTATGTTCATTGAGGGGTATTTACAATAGCCAAGATATGGAAGCAACCCAAGTGCCCATCAATAGATGAGTGAATTAAAAAGCTGTGGGAGGTTTACACAGAGGAAGACTACTCGGTCGTAAAAACAAATAAATCTTACCCTTTGTGACAGCATGGATGGACCTGGAGAGCAGTCTGCTAAGCAAAAATAGTCAGAGAGAGAGAAGTACCATGTGATTTCACTTCCATGTGGAAGCCAAAGGACAATATAAATGAACAAACAAACAGGCTCTTAGATACAGAGAACAGACCAATTGTTGCCATGGGGGAGGAGGGTCAGGGTATGGATGAAAAAGGTAAAGTCATCAAGAAGTACAGATTGGTAGCTACAGAATAGTCTTAGGGAGGAAAAGTGCAGCATAGGCAATGTGGTCAATAACATTGTAGTAACTATATGGCAGCAGGCAGGTACTGGGCGTATCAGGGGACCACTTAGGTAGATGATTGTCTAACCACTATGCTGTACACCTGAAACTAACACAAAATAATATGAATGTAAACTGTAATTGAAAAACTTTTTTTAAAATTTAAAAAAGAGAAATCTCTGAAAACTTGTTAAAAAAAATAAGAATGTGTGGTTTCTTAACCAAGACCACTGCTTCTCTCTCCGCTCTCAGCTCAGCAAGGGGGAGACGCAACTCACACTACTGCCCCCAAGAAGACGGGGCTCGCTCGCCCACCGCAGCCAGCCGGAGGTCTTTCTTCCCCGGAGGAACAGAACTTTAGCGTTTCTCACTCTGTTCCCAGCTGCTTTTGCTCAGGCTAAGTTCCGCACGAGGGTAGTCAAGAAGTGAGGACTTCTCTATGCACCCTATGTTCATTGCAGCATTCTTCGTGGTGGCCAAGACACGGAAACAGCAAAGAAAACCATCGACAGAATAAAAAGACAGCCCAGTGAATGCGAGAAGATATTCACCACTGGCACATCCGACAACAGGTTAATATCCAACCTTTATGAAGAAGATGTGGTCCATGTACGCAGTGGAATAGTACTCAGCCATGAGAAAGGGTGAAATAGCGTCATTCGCAACAGCATGGATGGACCGTGAGAACATTATGCTAAGTGAAATGTCAGAAAAAGCTAAGAACCATCTGATTTCACTCGTATGTGGGATATAAAACTGAAACTCGTGAACACAAACAGCAGTGTGGTGGCTGCTGGGCGGTGGGGAGAGAAGGGGTCCTAATATGAGGTGACAGGAGAAGACCTGACTGTGGGTGGTGGGCACACGGTGCTATATACGGATCTTGTAACTTAGAAACCCACACATGAAACCTATATGTTCATGTGGACCAATGTCACCCCAATAAAATTTAATAATAATAAAAAAGAAGTGAGGACTCTTCCTTAGGCATGGGGTGCCGAGAAGATAGGGGCCCCAATCGCCCTTTACTTAGCTCACGAGGTAGTGGTTCCACATCAGAAGTAACAAGCCAGGAGGGACCTACTGCTCCTCTCCCCCTCCCACTCCAACCCTCCACCCTTATTACCCCCTGCCCCCCCCCCACACACACACATCTACTGGTTATTCAGTATCGCTCACAGAGAAATTTTTCATTGTCCCCATCCTTAGCTCCAGAGCCCCTGCCCAGAGATTTTCCTACCCCTGGGGAGAAAAAAAGCAGGAGGACCCACACTGCCCAATTTCAAAACTTACTACAAAGCAATGGTAATTAAGGCAGTGTGGTCCTGGACGTGGATAAACATATAAGTCACTGAAATAGAATTGAGAATCCAAAACTAAACCCATACATCTACAATCAACTTTTTACAAGATGCCAAGACTATGCAATGGGGGAAAAAATGGTGTTTTAAACAGACGATGCTGAAACAACTAGCTAGCCACATGCAAAAAAAAATTAATTTGAACCCTTGCCTCACACCATTTACAAAGGTTAACTCAAAATGAGTCAAAGATCTAAATGTAAGAGGTACAAGCCTACAAGTCTTAGAACAAAATATAGAGGTAAATCTTTATGCCCTTGGATTTGGCAAGGAATTCTTAGTTGAGTCACCCAAAGGATGAGCAATGAGTGAACAAATAGACAAACTGGAATTCATCAAAATTTAAAACTTTTGTGCTTCAAAAGACACCGTCAATAAAGGGAGATTTTTCTACAGAATGGGAGAAAATAGTTGCAGCATAGGGAATATAGTCAATCATGTATCTGATAAGGAACTTGTATCCAAAATATATAAAGAACATTTACAACTCAATCATAAAAAGACAAAAAAGCCAATTGATACACCAATAACTTCAGTGAGCAAAGGATCTGAATAGATATTTCTATAAGGAAGATATACATATGGCCAATAAGCCCATGAAAAGATACTCTCAACATCATTAGTCATTAGGGAAATATAAATCAAAGCCACAGTGAGAGCCCAGCCAGCGTGGCTCAGTGGTTGAGCATTGACCTATGAACCAGGAGGTCACAGTTCGATTCTGGTCAGGACACATGCCCGTGTTGCAGGCTCGATCCCCAGTGTGGGGCGTGCAGGAGGCAGCTGATCCATGATTCTCTCTCATCATTGATGTTTCTATCTCCCTCTCCCTCTCCCTCTCCCTCTCCCTTCCTCTCTGAAATCAATTAAAAAGAATCAATGACTCCGAGGCTGTCCCTGAGCACATCGACTTCTCTCGTTCGCGCACTTGGCTCGGCCTCCTCTGCAACCATGTCTGATAAACCCAATATGGCTGAGATTGAGAAATTCGATAAGTTGAAACTGAAGAAGACAGAAACGCAAAAGAAAAATCCACTGCCTTCAAAAGAAACGATTGAATAAGAGAAGCAAGCAGGCGAATCGTAATGAGGCACGCGCCGCCAACATGCACTGTACATTCCACAAGCATTGCCTTCTTATTTTACTTCTTTTAGCTGTTTACCTTTGTAAGATGCAAAGAGGGATCAGTTACTGTGCTGCCCCTTTTCACATCAGAACTACTGACAACCAAGGCCGCACCTGCCGCTCCCATCTGCCTGGCTGGCTGGCGGGGAAGGGGGACAACTTGCATGTTGGTGAAGGAAGCAGATGGGTGGGACGAGAGTGAAATCTAGATTTAAAACCAAGCTGGTCCAAAGGGTCCTGCGGGCTGTAAAATGCAGTTTAATCAGGCCGCCATTTTTTTCTTGTTCAAATGATTTTAATTATTGGAATGCACAATTTTTTTAATATGCAAATAAAAAGTTTTAAAACCTGAAAAAAAAAAAAAGAATCAATGAGATACCCTTCACATCTACCTAGGATTGCTAGAATCAAAAAGTCAGATAATAAGATTTGGTGAGGATGTGGAGAAATCAGAACCCTCATAAAATGCTGGTGGGAATGTAAAATGATGCAGCCACTTTGGAAAACAACCTAGCCATTCCTCAAACATAATCATCACATGATTCAGCAATTCCGCTTCTAGGTACACAACCAGAAGAAATAAAAACATATGCCCATACAAAAAGTGCTACACAAATGTTTATAGCAGCAGCATCTATAATAGCTGGACAGTAGGAACAACACAAACATCCATCAACACTCAAATGCACAGGCAAAATGTGGTGCAGTCACACAGTGGAATATTGTTTAGACATAAAAAAGAACGAGTGCCGATGCATGCTACGACCTTGAAGACACTATGCTCGGGGAAAGAAGCTGACCACGAACGTCCACATGGTACCTGAGTCCATCCCTAAGAAAGTCTTGAGTATGAGAACCTATAGACAGAAAGTAGATTATTGGTTGCTTAGGGGTGG